GCTTGACATTGACAGTGTGTTTGGATTTGTTGTGTGTATAAACAAAGTTATTCAATGTTTTTCTTTAGAATGAAATGGTGGTATTGTTTTCCTATTTTCTGCTTTCAGTCCCAATAAATAATGATATATGTTTGTGTTTGTCTTATAATAATAAAATGTCAATATGAGGAGCTTAACCGAGTCCTCACTCACTCACTTACATATCGCACCTTGAGATAACAAAGATAAAACACATTATTGGATAAGCCTTTACAATTATATTTATTCAACAAAAACCATTAATCAATATATATGGCATCATATCATTCACGATTTGGGACGTACGTACCACATAGGCGCTGGGTAAGTCTTTCTCAGGTTCTTAGGATCACATGGAAAATAGCATGGCGACACAGTCTTGTTCTCATAACTAAAGATGCCAATGTCATGGCCACCAGTTAGGACGTGCTCAATCGATGCATCTGCTGTTGCATTCGAAAAGTAAATGGAGTTGGGCTTGAGCTCCGGGAACTCAGCCGCCGGCAACGTAACTGCATCGCTGTGGAATCCGACAAAAAGAGCCCAACCACCCAAACACGAACCTTCCACATACTTAAGTTCCCCATCCTCAGGGTCATATTTATGAACATCAAAATCAACAGTCACACGCGGAAGGCCGAGTTCCTTGGTGAAGATCGTATTGCCATCAACATACAAACCATCAAAGTCAAATGAATCAACCACGTACTGGGTCACTACGAGGAGATCCTCCCCGGCCACTACCAGACTCTCCATCCGCGAACTAGTCAACCACAACTTCTTCTTACCTGTCCTCGGGTAGCTGAACCGTCCACCCTCCTGACTAACTTCGGCTATCTTCACAGCCCTCGGTGACTGAGGGTCCCGAATATCCCAAGACTCCAACACGCCCAGTCTTGTAAGGCAAAACAATGCTTCATGTCTTGTGGAGTACACACAATCTTCGTAGCCCCCAAACACAGCCCGGCCCGAATCTTGATCAAACCAGTGGTGATCTCCAATTCGGGTCCACTCCTTGCTGAAGCCAGGGCAGCAGAAAGCCAGCGCAGCTACATTGTTGTAGATCATTATAGCCCGACAATTTGATCCGTCGTCTGGGGAGCACGAGAGGATGACCTTCTTGTATAGTCCTTTTGAGGTGGGAGGGTAATCAGGAAAGTGGCTAAAGGGGGGGAGGCTGATATGACCACCGGTTATTGGGTTATAAAGAAACACGTCCAGGCTACTTTCGTCGTACAAAGCTAGCCAGCCATGTGAAGATCCCCTAAAGCACATGAGAGGGTTCGTTAATTCTCTTTCTTTGCTGCTCTTTCCGGTACTTAGGGTTACGATTTTGTTATCGACGAGGCTGTAGAACTTGTAGCTCCTGCTTGCGCTACCGCTGACGTCGACGTCAAAGGCAGGCTGCAGCATAAGCCAAGGAGATGGCGAGGGTGGTGTTGGGTTGGGCTTGGCCAACATGCTCATGCCTTTCCGATAAAACGACGAGTTCAACCTATACCTACAACAAGATCTAGACATCAATTTTCCGCCAATCGGACAATTAGCAATTCCGGCATACCATTTCCGACGAATCGAACGAGTAAGTGAGAATGAAGAAGCCATAGCATAGATAGATAATAAACTTCGTAAGTCCAAAGATGCACAATTTATCTTTCTTTAAGCCCTTGTTTCCCTTTAACAAAAATCACAAATTTCAAGGTTATCTTCCTCCTTTTATCTCCATCATCTCTATTATCTCTATTCTAGAGTAAAAGCAAAATAAAAATCAAATTTCCTCTTCAATCATTTGTTTTAACATTTTGCTTCAAACATATTATTTTATTTATTTTAACATATCAAAATATAATTTAATTTCATATTATTTCATGCAATAAATATTTTCACGATGTTAGTGGGTCAATATTATTAGGCAAATATTTTATTTTTTATTTTTTTATTTCATTTTGATTCATTTTATTGTAATTCAATACAATATATCTTTTTCAAAATAATATTGTCATATAATTCGAAAAACATTTTATAAATTTATTGGTAACAACGTTAACAAAATAATAAAATTTAAAATAAATTAATACAAACAATATGAAAAAATTAAAAATTATAGAGCTATGAATAGTATCGCGCCAAATATGATGCAATATTGTTCATAAACTCTAGAGTAGGGCGAGATGTAGCGCATCACTGGACTTAACTTTTAACAAAATTCTACTGTTTTACGCCAAAATATCCAAACGAGAATGTAGCACACCATTAGATTTTACTTTTAGTAAAATTCTACCGTTTTACAGCAGAGTATTGCAGTTCATTTGCTCATATTTGTAACTTATATTATGTGCTTTTAATTCATGAATAGGCTTTAAGCCCTATTTGTGGACATTATAGGCCTCAAAGGAAATTGCATATTTGGTTTTAGAAGAATGCTCCTCTACTTACGGTGACACGTGTTAATATGCACACTGTTTATGTGGTATGTACACATTAGTGATGTTAATATGTCCAAAAAAATACATCAACAACGTGTGCATGTTATATAAGCGGTAAGCAAATTAACATGTGCCCACCGTAGATAGGGGAGCATTACTTTTTGATTTTAAAAGGCTACATGTATAATATTCGTGAATTATAGAAAAAATAAAATAAAATAAAATAATTGCATATTTCTTCAAAGACTAAAACATCTCTATAGTTTTTTTTTTTGGTACAGGGACCTTCCGGTTTCCGGATCTACAGGGGAACCGACTAATTCGGAATCGAGCCGGGTAGGACCACAAAGGCGGTAAAGCTCTCCCTCAAGAGTTTTAACACTGCTGCATTCCCAGGACTCGAAAAACATCTCTATAGTTGACTTCAATTTATTTTGTTATTTTTTTTTTTGGGCTACTTGGTTTCAAGAAATTCAATTTTTTTGTTGAGTATATTTTAAATATTTCTATGTTTTTAACGATAATAAAATACAAACTTCAATTTGTTATATTAGTTAATGCAAATCTAATTCATATCTTCTTAATTAAATAATTTAATAATTAAATCCCGTGGCGATGCATATGGTCAGTAGCCGACAAAATAGCCAATTTTTGCGGAGATACATGAGACATTTTTTTATTTTTTTTTTATTTTCCAACGTCTTTTCCATGATTTGGAGATTCCTTCCTTCCCACTTAGAATTTGATGAATATTCTACACATACACACACAAAACGAAAAGGGCATTCATTCATTTTTTTTTTCGGTACAATGAAGGGGCCGAAGCCTAAGCTAGTACTCGACGAGGGTATGACACCCCTATGAGGTCGTGCTCGAGCCACTGACCCATACCACTGG